TGCTTACCCGGGATACCCTAAACCCTAAACCCTAAACCCTAAAGCCTAAACCCTAAACCCTAAACCCTAACCCTAAACCCTAAACCCTGAACCCTAAACCCTAAACCCTAAACCCTAAACCCAGCTACTCTCTGAGTTCTTCCCACTGTTTCCATCATCGGCCGGGTGCCCAGCGAGAAACGAGGCTGCTGGCTATTGGCGAAAGCCTTCATGACCTCTCAGCAGCTTGAGAAGTAGGGGCCGACATAAAAAAAAAAAAAAAAAAAAAANNAAAAAAAAAAAAACACACACACACAATCTGCACAAAGACGTGTATTCTGTAAAGGCGCCTGCCATCTCCTACTGACACTTTGATTGACATTGTGTCGCACGACCTCCATATACAAGAATCCTGGAGAGTGCAGAGCTTCTGGTGTAGGCACTAAGTGCGGGCCTGCGATCCTAGGGCGGCTAGATCTATGAAGATGAAAGCTCAGGCTCAAGGTTCAGAGGATGCTGTGCCTTGTTGAAGTCCAATATGGTCGGTGTCTGACCTGGTCTCGAGCAGCGGGCAAGGGTATTTGGAGCTTCAGGAAGCCGACAGCGCTTGCCAACACAGGTTAAGACCCTACGCAAACTCAACACTTTTCATCCTGAATCACAGAAGCCTCGGCCAAGATCCGCCTCCTCATCCTGATCTTCATCAGCACCAGCATCATCAGCAGCAGCACTGTCGTAATCGCATTGACAAACCTTACTCCTGTGGCTATTGCAGCTGAACCGGCACACGCCTGACTAGCGTGACTAGAAGTATGCCTAAGTATGCCACCACAAAAAAAGATACAGTACACTCCCCTTAGGAATGATTCCACGCACCAACGAAACCTCTCCAGAGGCGATCGCCTTCAGCCTTCAGCTCCTCCAGCATCTTCAACCCCGACTCAACGTCAGAGACGACCTCTTGCGCCAGGGACAAATGTCTACATATCTATCTACCTGTGTGTCTCACGCCGTAATGTAATGCAATGCAACATGCTGTATGGTTTCGTATGGCAAGGTACGGCACCAGACAGCACAGTACAGTATGGTATTGTACGGTACGGTACGACAAGGAGTGGCATGGAAGGGAATGGAGTGGAATCGCATGCATGTGTGCATGCACGTAGTTGTGCAGCTTGTAATTAAGTACCTACGAAGCTATGTAGTAGTGTAGTTCAGTAGCTATGTAGCGATATGCAAGTGTGTAGGTGTGTGTGTGTGTGTGCGCCTGTATGTATGTGCGTGCGTGCATGCATGCATGCATGCGTGCGTGCATAGGGCCCGAATTTCCTCATCAGCGAGGCATGTCGTAGAGCCCAGTTCTTATGATTGCTCCAATGGAGAAAGGGATGACCGGGAAGGGACAGCTGCTGCTGCGTCAAGTCCTGAACGACGAGATGTCGTATTTGGTGTGGAAGCTTGGCGCGGGTCGTGCCGCGATGCCTTGGGAGCGCCTACTCGATGAGATGTAGCTGCCCTGAACGAGATGATATCACGACGCGCTGTTCCGGCCGAGAACTCAACCAAGGCATCCAACTAGCCAGCAGCCTGCGGCGTTTTGTCTTCAACCAGAGCTTGGAGATTGATGTTTGGCGCATCGTCCAACATCCTTCAACCAGCGCTTGGAGGCGCATCATCGGCGAGGTCTCATTGGCGATGGCCGAGATGGATATAACAGGAGGGAACCGGATGTCAAGTCTTATTTCGATCCCGTGTTGAGCAAATACTCCATGTGCATACGCAGTCACTGCACAGTGGTGATTGCCACTGCTGCGTTTGAATGTCTCCGTTGTGGGGTGTGCAGCTTGCAGTTTGCCTGTCCCTCCCACTTGAGGAACATGCTCAGGCTCAGGTTTCTGGTCTGCTTAGTGCTTGCATGTGCCTGTGTCTAGTTTCGCAGTGGCATCCATCGGTGATGCCATGCCGAATGGCTCTGCAGGAATGTTGCTTTCATTTTGATGCTGGCTCTGACTTTTTATTGCTTCAGCCATAAACTGCTTTAAAGCGTGTGGATACGGATTTTCGGTCTTCGAGCTGCCGGTTTATGCCTCCCGTGCGTCCCCGTTGGTAACCGTTTAGGGTTTAGGGTTTAGGGTTTAGGGTTTAGGGTTTAGGTAGCCTGATCACTGCTCAGCCCATCCGGCTAGCGCAAACAGGCGCCAGCGGGTTCATCTGCACTCATTTGGGGGTTTTAGAAAATAGGGGACCCTAATATAGTACCCTAAATAGTCGGATCCTAATTATAAGGACCCCAAAACAGGGTACACTAATTTTCGGAAACTCCCATTTGTGTGAGTGGCGCCTTCACCGAACTCAGGACATCCAGAAAGAAAGCTTGCATCCATGCATATGTATATGCTTGAAGTATCTGTGTATACGTACATATGTATCTATCTATACACACACATATGCATATACATATATATAAATATATATATATATATATATATATCCTAAACCCTAAACCCTAAACCCCAAACCCTAAACCCTAAACCCTAAACCCTAAACCCATATATATATATATATATGTATATATATATATATACACACACC